AATTCTTCGTCTGCAAATCTTCGTCAGGGCATTTATTCGTATCCCATTACTTTGTCTCGCATCAGGGTATATGAAAATCGGCTCGCATTTCTTCTTCAACGCAAATACCTATATGCAAAAGTAAGCATTGAGGGACAAATAAATGCACCGACGAAGATTTGTAGACGAAGAAATGCGGACGAAAAATTGTGCTACGAAGAAATGTCATGCGAGGATTCGTTCGGGTACCATGACATTTATGTGATTTCAAAGTCAAGGTTCACAGCTGATCTGCTAAATCAAGCCAAGAATCCAAACTATCAAAAAACTATAAATATTTGTTTGTCTGTCACAGAGGTCTCAAGCAATATAAGGTTGACATATGTTGAATCAAAAATCTACTGCCACAACTCACATCTCCTGCCTTAGTTTATCATTGTTGTTTAAACTTTCTTTCAAGAGAAACAGAAGCCAGTAGATGATATCACTTCAGATGATTGTTTCAAGATCTGAGTTCAAATGGAAATAAAAGCAAGATCAAGATGAAACAGGGATTATTGCTGTTAAAGTAGTTTGGCCATGATACAACAAGCACATAAATCATTAGCCAAATCAAATACTGGTTGGTTTGTCAAGATGTTTGTTGTCTGTCGTCTGTCGAGCTGCTATGAACACTGAACGCTCTCACTCTTACTTTAAAGATAGTAGTTTAAGTTGAATGGTAGTGAGCTGTAATTAGACAGAGCAGCTATTCAGTGCTCACATCAAGCCAGGCTAGGAAATGGCATCAACTGTGGTGGGAGGAAGCAGGTTCGGCAGCCCTATGTTGTAAACTTCTGTTGTGTCTTGTGTTTGATCAACTTATGTTTTCTGCTCTGTTTTGTGCAGTGATAGTAGCAGGTAACTGCATGCTTGTCAAATTATGTGAATAAACGAATTCATAACATTGCATTTTTCTCTCCATGCAAGGAACAAGTAAGATGTTGTAGAAAATGTAATAGAGGGCTGCATTGCTGATTTTGCACTTTATCAGAGCTTTATTAAGAATTGCTTTCCTGAAAGCTACACACAGGCCACAGCACTGAAATTCACAATGTCATAGCTTTTGGCAGAAAAAAAGAAAAGACTTACCTAGGTAAAATTGGCTGAAAGTATGGCAGAGCAGGTCTTGATGCGTATGCCCATCCATGTGCTTGCCGAAGCCGAACTGACTGCAAGTTGCAACACATTAACTCTGACCCACCATGGTGGCTGGCATATCCTGAACGTTCACCACTCTAAACAAGACAACTTTCAGCCCTCAGCATTGTATTAAAACACTGTACATGACACTCAAAATTTGTTTCAGTGCCATCCACGAACATCAGTCGCCATTCACCAGGCCAGTAAAAACAGAATAGATAATAGTTTCAAACCCATGTAGTCAGAGTTACAAGGTCTGCACCTCAAAACAAAATCCAGGTGACATTCACCACGCCAGTAAAAAACAGGTACTTAGGTAACGTAACAGCTTCAAATCTGGTAACATGTTGGTCGGACTTTACACTACCATATTTACATGGAATAATATGATACCAAACAATAGTGCAACCATTCTGGACAACAAAAGTGTATGATAAAATTAATTTAGAATACTTTGGCAGCATGTGATTTACGAGCACAGGCAGGTGTTACCTACCAGCCTTCTCAATGCTCGTAAAACCAACATTGTAGTTTTGATTTTACCTTATATGATAACACACTTGGCTGCAATGGCACATTTAATTTAATACTGTGAAAAGACCAGTTATAACCACTTCACAAGCACAATTGCACCTCATGCCGACATCCTTTTCCAAAGACAGTCAGCAGCGTCTTTCGTCAAAACTGGAAGATCAATCCCCTTTCAACTGTTAACATCAAACATATTTCTTCATGGTGTGATTTCCATATGGAAACCTTACAGGAAAAGAATTAATGTCAATTGTCAGCTCTTCAAATTTCTTTGGACTTTCACTTGCAGTACCATATCCAGTTTGCTTTGATATTTTGTTTTTTATTCCATGTTGAAGTTGAACACCAAGCTCCAGATATAGCAGGCAGCTTGATCATATTCGGCCTTGGTATAATATCAGTCCAAGTTCCAGTGGTGGGTATCTTCTAATATTCAAATTAAAATGAAAAGCAATAGGCTTTCTCATGTCAGCGCCGACGACGGATTTCACGTTGATAAAAAAGGGAGCTCAAGGTCAGCAAAACTCGGGTTCAAGGAATGGCGGGCGTTGAAATGACTGCTGACGTCATCGAAAAACCGCTAATGGTTAAGAGATAGGGACTAAGCTGGTCCCACCCTGCAAGTAAAGGGAAGAAATTTCTTGAACACCATAAACCTGCGGGGGTTGCGACCAGGATAAATGGTGGTTTCTGAGCCTGGCCGCAAACTTGGCTATCTCAACTCAAAACTAATGTTAAGGTGGGATGGTCCCTTTAACCTACAAGCAAATATCCTACGCAAGTGTGTGTACGTGTGTGGCGGTGCTTGAGTCGTAATTTCGGCCGCGGCAGCGGTCACGAACAGGACAGAGGCTCACAAACCCTCTCAATCCGCCGGTCCTAAGACCCTTGGAGACTAGGGTTTGTATAGCCAGAGTCCAGCCCGTGCCTTTCCACCAAGGCCGGAACTGCCCAAGTACTTACATGATCGCAAAGAAGACCACACTGCGTCGGGACCTCGGGCACGAATCTCTCGCCCGTGCGTCACACGCGCCTTTTTATACGTTTTCACGCAGTCGCAAGGCCGGCCACCTTCTAGCCGGCGGCGAGCTGGCGCGGCCGGCTGTCTGTGTACAATATCGCTATATGTCGCATATGTGTTTTGCTATTTTTGCTAATCTATCAATACCGCAGAGCATTCACAGATAATAGCGCAATCTAAGTCATTGCATAGCGATCTGCTTATCGATTGCACAGCGTTAACTACATATTCGCGCAACTTCTGAAGGCCTTATTTAAATACAAACACCTTATATGATCTAAATACCGTCACCATGGCAAACGTCACCTAACCAACTTAATTACCTATTAACTACCTTGACACACTGAACTACCTATGGCATATCTCAATACACCGACACTGGCATTACACCACCGCACCTAGTTATGCGTTTTGCTAAACATACTAACTCCGCCACCGAACGTAACTATTCTAATATAGCATGGACAATAAACACACGGCCAGGACGCTCCTAAATGTACAGTCCTTATCTACACACTTGATGCAATTAGCATCAATTCTGCGCGACCATCACCAATGTAGAGGTCCACCCAGGCTCTACACTGAGAGGGGTTTAAACTGAAGGAAGGTTTAATCACGCTGCACTGGTGTCCTTTTTTTATAGTTGTTTTCACTTTTTGTTGATACCGATACAAATGCCGGCTGGCATCATACCAGAATCGCCCAATGTCCGAGTCGCTCTTCTCCGCATCGAACCACGCATCGCCGCGAACACTGTCACTTGGGATCCCTCGCTGTCACTGCCCTCCATTGCACGCCAAAACTCGCCATGTCCGCAATATAGCACTCAGTAACCTCCTCACGGTATTCGCGCAAGTAACACCAATCGGTCTTCCGATCTGGCCTGCCTCTCAGTCCCTCAGTTGATAGGAATATATAAGATGTGTCAGACGTTGTGACACTGCTAGGGCTGCATGGATAGCTTGCATTATCCCTGCCCGTCTTGCTAACGATCACTGTGACCAGCGTCCCTGGGTGTGCCCCACGGGCACAGTCCGCCGTGAACTGCTGCTCGCTATTTGGTATCGACATTGCTGCCGATCCCGACCTGTCGTCATCTGTTGATAGCAAGACATGCACGCCTGCAGGTTCTACAGCTGTAAATAGAAGCATAGTCACCCTTCCCTCCCTGAGACCTGTTATCGTAATGCGGGGCGGTAGCTAAGAAATATGACCAGGCTTTTTCAAACGCTCTTTCTTTTGGGCAGTATATCGAAACGTTACTTTGCATCGTTGTGCATAAAATGCTGCAAAAGTTGCTCCAGGTGTATCTTTACGTTATTATGCGTTTCACAAGGTTTCATATGCTAATGCTAATGGTCCCCGGCCCGCGCCGTCCTTCGCGCTTCTCCGCCGTCATTCCGCTAATCCCTGAGGGTGTGTAAATCTAAACATACTGAAGTGCACATTTGCCCTGGAGCTGCCGCGCTCGCCGCCTGTGAGGTCATAGGTCAATGGGGATTTGAGTGTACATGCGATTATGGAAATGCTTCGGGAGGGGGCCCAAAAAGGGGGGGGGGTGTCATCGGGGGGGGGGGGGGGGGAGTCGAGTCGCTAACCGAAGTTATAGTATCTTCTTGAGCGGTATTATGGCGTTTTACCGTCTTTTCCACTTCGGTTGGGGGGGGGGGCAGAGTAAGAGAGGGGGTAGAGTATGGGAGGAGGTCAAGGGAAACCGTCCGTTCATGCCGTCTCAGAGGGGGGGGGGGGCGTGTGTGGGCGAGGAAGAGAGGGAGAGAGAGAGAGAGAGAGGGAGAGAGAGAGAGAAGTGGGCGGGGATGGATGGATGAGGCCAGGGATTTGGTCACCAAATAAGGTGAACGATGAGTCGAGGGCGGATGGATGATGAGGGGAGAGGAAAGAGAGAGAGAGAGAGACAGGGAGATGAGGCGGCCCAGGCGGTAGTGGCGAAACCGCCACGTCCACCCGTCGTTACCTTTGAAGTCGTTACCTTTGAATGCTCTATGCGGCCGTATTGCCCTGGTGCGAGACCCGCTGATGTGATCAGATTTCTCACAGGAAGTGCGACTGGAACAGACCCTTTGGTAGTGTTGGAGCAATGGGCTTGATGATGTCATCACGCGCTAGCAGCGGATGGCAGCGTGCTTTGAAACGGCGCCACGGTTTGTGATACGGATTACGGAGGTAGGTATGGAGGTAGGTATACATACTTTATAATCAGCGGCAATGGAACAGAGGTTTCTAGAGGTTTTTACAACATTTTCTGGAGGTATTGGCATCACTCGACCTGGCAACACTGATTGAAAGTAGATTGCAGTAGATCGTAATGGCGGATGGCGTGGGTTCGTGTGCTCTGAGTCGTTTTTGCATTAATTTTTTCTAGTGTTTCAAGGTGAGATTTTGCAGGAAACTTGGTGTAAATGTGAAGAGTAAGTGTTTTATAAGATGGCATGACACTAATCAGATTGAATTAACAACAATGAAAACGCTAGGTTATGATGGCCTCTCCCAGGGCTGCGGAGTCGGAGTCGGAGTCGGTCGGAGTCGGAGTCGGAGTCGGTCGGAGTCGACAGTTGTGACCGGAGTCTGAGTCGATTTTAGAAACCTGAGCCGGAGTCGGAGTCACCGAAAATCTGTTGACTCCGCAGGCCTGCTAGGTCTGCGGAGTCTGAGTCGGGAGTTGGAGTCGGTCGGAGTCGACAATTCTGCCCGGAGTCGGAGCTGGTTTTTGAAAGTTGGAGTCGGAGTCGCCGAAAATCCATAGACTCCGCAGCCCTGGCCTCTCTGACCCTCACTTTTTATAATACATTATATTTGTTGAGAATAATTGATATTTGATGGTAAATAGATACCTACTGAAAATGGTTCAGGATCGATAAATAAGCAAATATACTATTGTATCGGTCGGTACTGTAGGACCTTGCCGCTTTTTTCCAGCGGCATTAGGAGGAACAGAAAGAGGATGGTTCTTGCGGGAACTGACCGACACAATTGTTATCAGCGTTTTGATCTATAAAATGATACATATTTCTTCAGCTAGTCTTACTGGCAAACTCAGGAGTTGTAGATGATCATGGCTGTGCTGAAAAGTTGGGTCCAGCTTCATCCATTTTTTTATTTTGGTAATTTTTGCCTTTCTATACTCCCACTGTGCATTCCTGTGCTAACTTTCAACATATACCGTAAAATGGGGTGTTAAGGGACAGTGGGGTGTTAAGGGACAGTTGCATGGAAAAAACTTTGAGTCATATTAACTTCCTAATTTGAGAAGGTTCAATAAAAACTTCAGTGTGGTAGTTGACACTGTTTTGCTCTTGACCATAGGACAAAATGCTATGGTTTTTCATGCAAGTGATTTGGTTCAAAAATGGATTTGAAAATCATGCTACATTTTCACAAAATTGAAACATCTCCAAAACTCTGTGTGTGCCTCATAAACTAGTGGGTGTACAGGGAAAATGAATGCATAGGTGTATTGTCACATGTATTGCACTTGTTTCCTGAAAAACTTGTGCAAATCCACCCATTCATTCATCATCCTCTTCCTCTTTTCCGGATACATGCATATTTTGAGGTGAATGTGGGGTGATAAGGGACAGGGAAGAAAACATAAAAAATAAAATCTAAATATAATTTAATCAAGTTTTCTTTCAGTAGGCATGGAAAACACCAAATTCCACATAAAATGCTGGCAAGTTCATGCTTTTATCTCTAACATTTACCTGGTTTACTTACTTACCTGGTTGGGTTCCAATGTCCGACTGTGAGGGAATGGCAATTCAGGAAGTTGAGGCAGGGAGTGGACTACGGAACCCCAGAAACATAAGGCGCGCCAAACAGTAGTGCTGGAATGTCCTATGAGCACAATCATAAATACACTGTCTGGAAATGTGCGCCTCACAACAGTAATTGACATGTAGCATATACTAGTTTCCTAAGATGAGACAGTAAGACATGGTATCAGCCATTACGAGAAACAGTACAATGAGTCATTCAGTTCACTGTCCAGTTTTCCTTTAAATCGCGATACATTGTCCGCGCATACAGCTTCCGCAGAGAGAGAGTTCCATACAGATATACACCTACGAGAGAACGAGCGCTTCCTTACATCGGTTCGCAAGGTCGAGGGAAAAATTTTGTAGCAGTGACCTCGGGTCCGAGATTGAGGAGGCTGTAAGAACAAGTCAGCTGGCTTGATGATCGACTTACCATGAAAAATTTTCCAGCATTGAATGAGGTCAGCACGGAGCAGCCTTCCCTGGACCGAGTAGAGGTTTAGGGCTCTCAGTCTGTCACCATAGGATAAGGACTGCATACCGGAGATGCGTTTAGTCCATCTTCGCTGCACACTTTCCAGTAGCTTAAGGTCCTGGACATATCCGGTGTTCCAGACGCAAGAACAATATTCAATAACGGGGCGTATATGTGTGGTTAAGAGAAAAAGCATAAACTTGGGGGACCGGCACACCGTCGACTTAAGAAAACTGTATGCTAGCCCGCCTGCCCTGTGAGTGACTGATCTGACATGGTCATGAAACTTCAGGTCCGTGTCTACCAAGACTCCCAAGTCCTTAGCCGAAGAAGCGTGTGGGATGTGATTGCCATTGAGGATGTAGGTTGGGGCAGGTAGTTTCGATGAGGATCTAGGGAAACGCAGTACAACGCACTTTGCCACATTCATATGCAGTCCCCACGAGTCAGCTGTAAAGTGGAGCTCGTCAATATCACGTTGCACATCTGCTTGGCGTAAAGCTGTGGACGAAGTAGGGTGATTAACACAGGCATACACTTTGAGATCATCAGCAAAAATTTTGTAATTACATGCAAGCTGTGCGCCAACGCTGTTAATATATATCAAAAAGAGCAGAGGGCCCAAAACGGATCCTTGCGGCACGCCACTCAGTACCTCTCTTGTCTTGCTCAGCTCACCATTAATACTTACTCTCATATGGCGGGAAGTCAGACATCCTAAGTTACATCTTAAGTTATGTAACAAAACATCTCAACACCCTCTTTTACAATGATGGGTCAATGGAGACTGATGTATGTAAATGTGATGTCATCATAAAAAGGCCAAAACAAAGAGGGCAACATAATGACGAGTGACTAGCTTCAACATGGGTTTTTATTGATGACAGAAGATTACTTTTTGGTTCTGTTTACCTTATAATTAGCACATTTTCCACAAGCGTAAACAGCATTGCACGTAATTGGCTAAAAAGGTCATTAGTGGTGAATGAACCTGACTTGTTTTGTGACAGAATATGCAAAACATCTCAATAAATAAATTGTGTGCCCCTCCACACCCCAATTGTGGGCATTTGATGGCCATTTCTTGGAATAATATAGGTGTCCCTTAGCACCCCACATTGGGGTGCTAAGGTACAGTGATGAAAAATAATAAAAAATAATATGCAGGTATAAATCTTAAAAACTTTAATGTGGCAGGCATGTAAAGCACCAAATTCCACATAAAATGCTGACAATTTGATGCTTCTATCTCCAACCCTTCTTGAGTTATATAACAAAACACCTCAAAACTGTCCCTTAACAACCCATTTTACGGTAAACTTATACTTTCTAAAAACCAGTTTGGAGATCAAAATGATGCTATATTGAAAACTTATTTTGAATAGCATAGAATAAGTATTTCATTTTTGCATTGATAACATGGTGGCAAAGTCACCCCATGTGGCCTGCAATTCACTTGGAACAATCGCCACCAAAAATTTTAGCGAAATGAAGTGCCAGTTTTGTTGGATATGCTAACTTAACAGCCTTGCCATGATCAACCATACCAAGTTTCAGCATCGCAGTTGGTCTAGAACATGGTTAGATAATACAAAGTTCGGACCTCTTCAAATTTGACCATTTCAATGACTCCAATAAAATGAAGCCCAGTTAGGTATTTAGTGGTAACTTATCTCTTAATGTTGGTTATTTTGGAAGGCCCATCAATTATCTTTCATTTGTGCATTAAAAATTATTAAATTCTTCGTAAAATATCACTAGAGATCACCCTAAAGCATTTTTTTAGAAGCATGGCAAAGGCACCCCCGTTTACGGTACTCCTCTTAACCCGCTCTGGGCCGGTGCTTCGCGACTTGCGCGCCGGGCCGGGGTGTGTGTCTGAACACCCCCTGTCTAACTCGCCTCCTGGGCTACGTAGCGACACGCCATAACCGGCATTAGAAAGAGCGTCAAAAATAATGACGGAAACACTTCCGTCATTTTTGGGTCAGGTCTTTCAAAGGTCAGGTCGCCAGAGGTCATCAAAGGTCAAATGTAGTCCATTTCAACAATTTTGGAAACTGCCCACGGCTAACTCGGGAACAAATAGAACTACAGCGCCGCGGAAAAGCGCATCCGATAGCCCTTTTACAGACCTTTCTGGTTATAGTTCTCGGATTTGACCTCAGGTCAACGGTTTAGCCTCCAGAGGGCAAAAACTAAAAATAGTAGTTTTCACGAAAATGGTTTTTCGTCAATAACTTTTGACTCAAGAGAGCCACGACATTACTTTTGGCAGCATCGCGTTCCTCTCGTCAAGACGCGTCGAATGAACTATTTGTTGACCTTGAAAGGTCATTTTGAAAATTTGACCCCAGGTCAAGGTCATGACCTGACTGGAAAGAGTCATGTTGCATATCAGTCGATCCGTATCGTCGAGCTGAATACATCTGACGTGTTTTCATCGCTCTAGCACGTCTTTATCAAAAGTTATAGCAAAAAAAAAAACTGCTTGTGACCGTGCATGACCTGAGATGACCTCAGGGGCACACAGAGGGGTCACAGGTGCATTTTTTCCGATTCAGTGTGACGTGTGTCATGTTTACCTATGAGCCAATGTTTGAGAAGGTTTTGAACATCATTCGTCCTAAAGAGGCGCATTTCAATTTTCTCCCATTGACCAAGCATTGACTAAAAATGGAGAGGTCGCAAAATGGACCTGACCTTAGGTCACCGATATCAAAATTCTGAGATATACATTTTGTACATGCTGTTACTCTTATCAATCGCTGAAAGTTCTAAGGCGATCGTTCAGTCGGTGTAGCTATGACGAGGATTGAAACTTTTTCAGAGGTGAGGTCACTGGACCTGACCTTGGTGATCTGACCTTGAGAGCCCTGCCCCTGGGTCTGAAATGTTCACAACATGTGTGGAAAAGATGCATGAACAGGTGTGTCAAAAACGGCGGCGCGCCGCCTTTTTTGAGATATCTGCAAAAAACCGCAGGGGTGTTCAAACACCCCCCCCCCGGCCCGGCGTGGAATAAAGCCACTTGGGAGTTCCGAAGTCCGCTCTCTGCAGTAACGTCTCACCATTCGAAATGTGGCATCCTTACCCACTCCTAAAGAACCGCGCTGGAACAGCGGTCTGCAGCAGTTGGAGTTCTAAAAACAGGAGTTGAGGGCTCTCAAGAGCGCCTACTATGCACTTCTAAGAAATGTTCCCGCAAAGCAGGCATACTCGACTGTTTCGTCGGCGTAGCAGGCATGACGGGGAGTGATCGTGGATGGATATGTTGGCTTGATCGCTGCGACAGCTTTGCAGTGTGCGCTGGTCACTTTCAGGGGGACATGCCCCCGCACTACGGTCACTACAGTCGCAGGTTCGCACTAAAACTCAACTCTAAAACCTGCCTTTATACACTAGGCTGCGTTACGAAAGTCAAATTATTGGGGGTCCCGACTCCGGACCCCAGTGACCCCACCAGTGGCGGAGCCCTTGGTCACTTTCTTTGTAATAAGCAAGGCAATAAGGGATGTTAACCTGTACGCTTGTGATGTGTGTGTGTGGGGGGGGGGGGACGCAGCTGCAATACATGCTTTTTTAATGAAAATAACTGACTCCTCACTCCGGTTAACCCGCGCCGGGCCGGTGCTCCGAGACTTCCGCGCCGGGCCGGGGGGGGGGGGGGGAGGGTGTCTGAACACTCCCCCTTCTAACTCGGCTCCTGGGCCACGTATCGACACGCGGTAAGCGGCAATCGAAATAACGTCCAAAAGAATGACGAAAACACCGGTCATTTTTTGGGCAGGTCAAAGGTCAAGTCACCAGAGGTCACCAAAGGTAAAATGTTGGCTATTTCAACATTTTGGAAACTGCCAACGGCTAGCCCGGGAACCAATAGAGCTACAGCGCCGCAGAAAAGCGCATTCGATAGCTCTTTTAACGCTCTTTCGCCAACATGTCCTCAGATTTGACCTCAGGTCAACGGTTTAGCCTCCAGAGGGCAAAAACTCCAAAAATAGCCGTTTTTACGAAGTGTTTTTTTCGGCAATGAATTTTGACTCGAAAGAGCCACATTACTTTTGCCAGCATCATGTTCCTCTCGTCGAGACGCTTCGAATCAACTACAATTTGACCTTGAAAGGTCAACTTGAAAATTTGACTTCAGGTCAAGGTCATGACCTGACCGGAAAAGGTCATGTTACATATCAGTCGATCTGCATTCTCGAGCCGAACGCATCTAAGGCCTTTTCATCGCTCTAGCATGCCTCTAGTCTATCAGAAGTTATTAGCGAAAAACTGTTAGATACTATTCGTGACCTGAGATGCCCTCGGGGACATAACGAGGGGTCACAGGTGCCATTTTCCGGCTCAGTGTGTCAATTTTACCTACATCCCGATGTTTGAGAGTGTCTAGAATGGCGTTCGTGCAAAAGAGACGCTTTTCAATTTTCTCCCATTGACTTATGATGGAGAGGCCGCAAAATTGACCTGACCTTAGGTCACCGATTTCAAAATTCCGAGATATACGTTTTATAGATACTGTTACTCTTATCAATCGCTGAAAGTTTCGACCTGAGTCTGAAATTTTCACAACATGTGCGGCAAAAAAAATGCGCAAACAGGTGTGCCAAAATTGAGATATCTGCGAAAAACCGCAAGGGGGGTTGTTCAAACACCCCCCGGCCGGGCGCGGGTTAATAAAGCCACCGCTTAATAAATCCAAAACGCCTTGTCACCAAGGTGGATTTATTAAGCGGATTCCACTGTATATGGTAAGTAGCATATTTGGATTCAGGATGTCAAATGATGTCAATGTGAGGATCGGGATATGCAAAATGTATGCTTGAAAGGTGAATCATACTTTTTAACAATTTCTCTGCCTCCTTCCCACAGTGACAGTTCCAGTACACAGTGAGAATTTCATAGACACCCACGATGAATGCCTGTGTTACGGAGAGCCCTCGACTGTTGATGGTGACGGAGGTGAAAGAAGAGGTAGGTAGCAGCAAAGTGTATTCAGTATTTGAGTAGCATACCTATATCTTCTTTAGTATGATGGTAGTATGGCAAATACAATTTATTTGGTATCCTATTTTGAATCAATTTGTTTGAAGAAAAGCAAGATATTATGTGGTTATAATGATGTAAATAATAAACCAATTAATAGGTACAACTCAAATCTAATCAGTATCCAATCTGTCATGGATACTCAACAATAGTGATATAAGGTTAAAAAGTGTGGCTGTGTGCTTTGTAGTTTGCTGCTTATGCTGTATCATGCTGCGTAATTTAGAGTTATTATCTTTCCATTGCCCATTCAGGAACTATCAGCATCTGAAGATGGTTCTTCAGTACACAAACATCTGATGGCTGAGGAATTGCACGACAGGTGGGTTGTACCAGGGCTCATAGTGGCCATTGCTTTAAACCCATTTTTTCTGTGTTTGACACAGGCATAGCTTAGCACACTTTACCAAATAGTCAAAACATCATTTTTACTATTTACTAATCGGTTGGTACATTATATTTACTGTTGTTTGATCAGAAGATGCTCCACAGATCCAGTTAGTTCTCTGTTTCACGTGACATGTTTCATTTCACAGTGATAACAATGCAGTAAAGATCGAGCCTGAGCTGCCTTCAGGAATTACTGACAGCCTGGGGAGCACTGTCAAGACAGAAGGTAGGCACGTATGTGTTTTCACATTAGTTTTCATATTGAATGAAAAACTTGATTGCTTCCCAACAAAATTAGGACAAATAAAGGAAGCTGTGTAATGCAACTAGTGTAAAAGGATATATACCACTTTTGGCTCTTTGCCCAATGCCCATATTCACGGTTTGCCAGCCGTGAATGCATGGCTGCCGTCCAAAGCCAAAACACCGTATGGGCTATTTTTCCGAAATAAGGTTTTTGATACCAGGACAATCCATTTTTGACGCTGCGTTTAGCTGTACCATTTATAGTTTTGTATCAAAAATATATTTTTTATTATATTCGATAAGGTATTATGGCTTTTGTGGATAAACCATGATTAAGCTACTTGGTGCCACCAAAATGCCGTATGGAGTGTGATTGTGAAATTCATCAGTTGTTTCAAGTCGTCAACTCATGCCAAAACACCGTATCACAGCGATGTGGTCTTTTGGCCTTGGCGGACGCTGAACCTATGCTACTTCATGCCACCGTTTCACGTGCGATGCGGTCTTCTGGCTTTGATTTCGAACGAGATTTCCGACAAAACCAGTGACAAAAACACCGTATTGACTGATATGCGGTATTTTGGCATAGGTTGGTGTCGGTAAATCCCCATCACCTTGAGATACACTCTTTTGGCACGAATGATTCAACGTGTTTCGGAAATAAGCTACCCAATATGAAATTCATGACAGAATTGACGGCGAGAATAATAACGACACAATTTTTAGAGGAATAATATTTAAAGATGTAAGCCGTTAGAGCAATTGACCTGCCACACTATCACGTGGGCGAAGTGGCTCAGATCGAGGCTGCTCTGAATGCAGCAAACAGGCGGTCCACCTCACTTCAGGCTAGGAAGCCAGTGGCGAATATCGAAGAGAGGCCGATCGTGATTGGGCTGACGACGGGGTGACGGTGACGGTGTCAGTATGATGAAAGAGGTGATGATACATACGATTAGGTCTGGCAATGCTCCTTCGTCCCTGGCTTACGTGTCTTCAACTGAACAGCGTGGCAATGCCCGAGAACACCCGCAGCGTCAGAAAGGACTGTTATCATGTGGTGTCCGTTTGCATCGTCTGGGAGGTGTAGCCGGACGTTGAACTGGTGGAGGTATCTGGTATTTACTTTTTGCTTGCAACTTGGGTCTTTCACACAGTCCAAAAGTGGACGCTGATGGATGCTGTTCAGTGTGCAATCGAACCACCTCACAATCCAGACTGACGCTAAAGTCGATCTTACCTGAAAACACCGGCATGAATGCCGATGTCGTAGCCGTGCCAGGTAAGTTAACCCAAAACCGAATCAGAAATCAGTTGGTTTCGGTACCTGTGAAAGCGGCCAGTGAACGCTTGAATATGCGTGGAACTCAGACTTTCCTATAACTAGAAGATGGCAAAACTTCCGTTGCTTCATTTAACCATTTTTAGCACCGTCTTCTTAATGTAGCCAATTTGTAGAAAATCCCGATGTACGCATCAAACGTTCGCCCCCTCGGCTTGTCTTCAGTCTCCGACTCTCCGTCATCAAACACATTCCGCTCTCCCCTTTGTAGACTGGGTGAAAGTCCCAAGTTTCAAGCAAAACAGTGATGCAGCCACGTCCAGATATCTCCACCAGTTCCACGTCCGGCTACACCCGTCGTCCCAGACGATGCAAACGGACACCACATGATAACAGTCCTTTCTGACGCTGCGGGTGTTCTCGGGCATTGCCACGCTGTTCAGTTGAAGACACGTAAGCCAGGGACGAAGGAGCATGGCCAGACCTAATCGTATGTATCATCCCCTCTTTCATCATACTGACACCGTCACCGTCACCCCGTCGTCAGCCCAATCACGATCGGCCTCTCTTCGATATTCGCCACTGGCTTTCTTGCCTAAAGTGAGGTGGGCCGCCTGTTTGCTGCATTCAAAGTAGCTTCGATCTTATTTACTTTGCCCACGTGATAGTCTGGCAAGTATTGCTGAAATGCCTTTGACCCTATAACATTCCCCTAATTATTCGTGAATTTTGTCGCCAACTCCATATAGACCCGCCTATTTCCTACACATGATGCAGCATCGATGATTCCGAATGCTGGCAATTGTCGATGGATCATTCCATCATGTAAACTGTATGCTTCAACTTTACCGTAACTTGGAGGTCATCCAAGCCAAAACACCGTATTGGGGCATAAAACGCGATACGGTGTTTTTGCTTCGCGAAAAGGCACGAAATTTACATACAAACCAAACCAAAACGCCATATCGAATGCTAAGTAAAATGATAACGATTACTATGAAATTTGAATAAATGTATCAATTCTGCAAGATCAGACAATTCTAATGGTCTTTTTCCTATCACGGAATGTTGATTCCTTCACATAGAAATCACACCTCAAAGTAAGAAAGCTTAAAATCGTTCTCCTGTAAAATTTGAAAAACCTGGGATGCGGTGTTTTGGCTTTGGACGGCAGATGGGGATCCGTTGGACCCTCCCCCTTGCCGTTCGGTCCCTGATCGAGCTAGAGCTTCACGAAAAAAACGTGCGTGCGGCCCATGACATGGAGAAGCCGATGATACCCAATTTTATGGTCCTAGATCATCGGTTTACCTTCTAGGTCAGGTCCATGACCCAAAAATCAGGAAAATTGGAACATGCTAGTGCTTCGTAAAATGTTATGTTCTATCGAGGTGCTGATAACGAATTTCATGAGTTTTGATCTCAGATGCTATCTTTATGCATTTAGGCCAGGTCGAGTCAGGTCAGGTCAACCAGTATAGGCATTCTGCCAGGTATTTATCATAGTAGGTGTCAGCAACCACTGACAGCTTCGTTACAACTTACATGTTTCGAAGGCACCAAAACTACTTCGTAAATGCTCAAATGAGCACTGAGTTCGCAAACAGCTCCAAAAACTAGCCTATAAACATGAAAACTCGCAAAATTGAACCAAAACGTCATTCAGCTGAGATATTTTCAGTGATTGCATCAGTACATTAAGATGTCTGAAAAGGTTGTGATATAAAACGGATGATATTTGCCGAACCTTGGAAAACAAACTTGGGCAATGTTGATTTGAAACATGCCCTAGCTCCCCTCATGTAAACCCGCACGTGAAATCAAAATATCTTGTCCTATCTTTGCACGAGGCGACTTTCCTTATTAATATTTCCGAAATAATATCCTGTACAATACTAATGATAACCATCCACCAGTCAGATGCGTAGTATTCCAGACCATGCCTCAGTTATTTATAGTCACCGTGGCCTCAGTTGCTGATGCACATATGCATATTCGGTAGATGACGACTGGGACGCCAAGTGGAGGGTGGATGTACCCGACCGGGACCCGCTGGAGCTGGGGCCCGACACCAAGGTGAGGATCTTTAACCTGCTTACGGTAGTCTTCTTCGTAACAGTGTTATTGACGGACTATATGAGTATAGAAAAAAGAACTGATTGCGTTTTAGATTGTCAGTATCTTTTATTCTTTATCTGATTTGCACGTCAAATGAAGATTTTAAAATGTAGCCAATAGAAAAGCTTAGACGGGACTATTTGAAGTGGGTTTTATAACTTTAAAATGATGTGCAAGAATGTGAGCACAGTAAGCGCACCAAATTGCCTTTTAATGACCGCATAATGCTATATGTATACCACTGCCAGTGGCCTCTATGTGTTTTATAACTGGGTTACTATGCCCTGTCACCAATATCAACCCGACAATTGTGTCGAATAACTTTATCGTGATCTTGTCCTTATTTGTTTGCCCATTTTTCGCTATTTTTATATTTCGATTTCATCTATGGCAATTCGTTTTGGGTGAGCGTGTTACCATCACCCGAGTTAAATCATGTTTTCTTTTCAGGTTTCCCTCGGCGATGGTGTTGTCAAAGAGGAGTCCGAAGCTCCCATTGCCGCCGTCGGCGAGGGAGACCAGGCAACAAGCTCAACAGGTGAGGATCTATTTTATTGTATTGGGCGCTAAGGGAATCAACTATTTTGTAGTCTAAAGAAAAGTTCGTCAGCTGGCCGACTTCGTGCACGCTGTTGGAAGCAGGGATGCGGAGCCGTGGAAATTTCAGACGGCTCCGGCTCCGGGTGAAATGCCATGGGGGCTCCAGCCTCCGGCTCCGGCTCCTAGCAAAATGGTCCGGCTCTGGCGGCTCCGGCTCCAATACTCAGTACATCCCCTATGCAGTTAAATACGGGTGGAAGAAAAAGACGATGAGATTGGTGCACGTTGCTTCTGTATTTGCATAACAAGGCTATTTTCATATTTTGGATACCGCATGTTTTACTGCCTTGAACTGTCAAACCGAAATAGGTCAATAATTTTTTTCCTCTAAAAAAATAGGAGCCGGAGTCGCCCCTTTTTTGACGGTTCCGGCTCCGGCTCTGGGCTATATTGTTTCACGGCTCCGGCTCCGGGCAAAATATGCCGGTTCCGGCTCCAGCTCCGGTTTCGCACCCCTGCACAGTGGGGATTTTTCCGATCTAGCGCCTCTTAATTCAAAAAATCTTTTTTGGATTTTTGTTTATTTTTTGTTTCAGTGGGGCTAAGAAATGTCTGAATTTTTCATAAATGGCATTGTTTTATCTGTATGTCCACAACAAAACTAGGAAAAATGCGCCCAAAGTTCACACTCATGTGTGATTACTCAATGGGCTCAGCAAGGCCCGAAAGTATAGCTCAATTTCATTGTCCTGTCCTGTTGGTTTTAATCTTGCGAGGTCTTAAAGTTGCATATCTTCTGAAAGGCACCTTTATTAGGAATGGAATGGCAAACAAAAAGAATGCCACAACCTTACTAAGGTCACAAAAAATGCCCTTTACAAAAAACCCTTTCAGACACCATATTGAAGGAATGGTATTCTAAATAAATGTAGGAAATCAACAATGTTCTCCACACTTTTCCACTCCGAAATATATCCTATCGAATTTGCCACTTTATTATATTATTATTTTCAAGGGGATAGACGTGTTTGAAGATGCTCCGCTTTTTACCGTGTTTCATGCGGAAGGGATTCTAGTTTAGTGTTTAAATGTGTATGTAAATGTTGCTAATTTAACGTAGATCATTTGTATTGTTTTGTTTAAGCACAAAAGTGAAAGCTGTGCCTGCTCTAAGTCTTCAAAAATTGCATTTTTCTTACTTAAGAACATATTTTCGTATTTGTCGAGGCGGGCAGCTTGTTCTTGATTTTTAATCTGCTTACTCGTGCACTCAGCAAGTCGAGGCACCTCTGCGCCTCTTGCTCCACTTTTCGAAATGGCAGCAAGCTTAAAGGAAATAGTTCACTTTCACGAAATTATTTTTTTTTGCAACGATTTATTATTTTTTATGTTCAAAATAATCAGCAAAGAAAATAAAACCTTTTTATAACAAAAGATTTTTTTCTATATTTTGATATAGGAAGAACTTTTCAGTTTCTGTAAGGCACACGCGATCCAGTATGAAAAGAGCATGGGTCCCGAAAATTCTTCAGAAACAGAGAAATTATCGCAGCCACCGGCATTTGGGCGATCTGCTCGATCTGATAATGTTCCCCTGAATGTCCTAATTGATCAGTACGAGAATTTCTCTAGAGTTCTCGTAGATAGTTTCTCTAGTTTCTGAAGAATTTTCGGGACCCATGCTCTTTTCATACTGGATGGAAATATATGCAAGGCACACATCCTCAACGCAAGACACCTTTTTCGGGACGAGAAATAGAATATCTTTGCCTAGGGTGATCGTTGGGCTGTAAAAGCTCCTGATTTATGCTCGTCTCAGCCCAAGCTACGGAACTGCTATTCCAGTTCAAAACCCATGTTAAAAAGTGAACTATTTCCTTTAAGAAAGCCGAGCCCTGCTGGCCGTCGGAGCTTTTGCTTTGGCTGGTATGGTCAACTTTGAAGGCTTCAGCTACTGAGCTGGTAGATGCAAGATGAAGACCAGTCAATGCATAACGCACTGCTGTAGATGCGTAACAAACCCATGCAAGGCGTGCCGCTGTGTCAGATTGGGAAACCCGTGCACCACCTGCCGATTCGGGGATAAATGTCCCAACACGACACCATCTGCCACGACCGACATTGCCGCTGAAATAGCTACCTTGAAGCGAACCGGGCGGATTCTACCCCACGTCCCAAGAGGAGCGCGCATCGCTGTGGCTGACGAACTCGCCCGCCTCATCAACAGCGCCGTCGCTGAGGGCGCCGAAGGCGCATGGCGCAGACAAATGCGCTTTGCTTACACCGCGCTGAGGGTCAAGGAGCAATCGCAGGAGGCGCCAAGGAGGTAACTAGCTGCAAAAGTACGCCTAAATCTGACGCAGAACGGGGACCCAGACGGAGCACAGCCATCGGTGCCACCCACCAAGCGCCGCCGCGGTCATCGCCCAGCGGACGAAGTGACAGCGATGTCCCGACGCGTGGCTTCAAAGCTCACGGACGGCGACATCCGAGGAGCACTCCGAACGCTGACGTCCGATGACTCCTACGCACCCCCAGCGGATGATGTCATCAACAAGATGCAAGAAAAGCACCCGAAGCCGCCTGCCGATCTGTGTGACATCCCACCGCCCGATGACAGCCAGGCGCCTCTGGTGGCCTCTGAGGCGGACGTGATGAAGGCCATCAACTCTTTCCCGCCGAGCTCCAGCGCAGGGCTCGACGGAATCCGACCGGCCCACTTGCGCTCTCTGCTCACCAAGCACACTGCTGAGGCTGGAGCTCGACTACTCACGGCCCTGACGGCGCTCACAAACCTGGCACTGAGCGGTCGCCTGCCCGAGTGTGTGGTGCCAGCGTTCTTCGGCGCATCGCTGATCGCGCTCCGAAAGAAGGACGGCGGCCTGCGGCCCATCGCGGATGGGAGTGTTTACCGCCGCATCGCAGGGAAAGTCGCCGCGGCAGCCGTCTCTGGGGCTATAGGAGCTCGACTGCGTCCAATACAGCTCGGTGTGGCCACAAGGAACGGCTGTGAGGCGGCGGTACACGCTGTCAGAGCCTACATACAAGGGAGCTCAGAATCGGCCGCAGACAGCAAGATCATGGTCAAGTTGGACGTGTCCAATGCATTTAACACCGTGCGCAGGGACTCCATGATGGAAGCCGTAATAGAGCAAGCGCCTGCCATCTAATTAATATTCAATCCTATAGTTCCCGAATTTATTAAGACCATTATTCCTAACACAAGACAGCAAAACACAACACGAACTTTACGAAATATTTCAGCTCAAACAATACCATTGGCCAGAACCACATCCTATCACCGATCCTTCGTCCCATCCTCTACAAGCCTCTGGAACACATTGCCCGAACATCTACGCACAAACAATAACTACTTTACCTTTAAAAAACACCTAAAAGAACTGATTACACAACCCCGTCCACCTCTGTATTATTTCCTAGGCACAAAAACAGGCAACATTTTACACACAAAACTACGACTGAATACTTCAAAACTTAATGCTCATCTTTTCTCCATACAACAAGCTAATTCACCCTGTTGCACTTGCGGCTATAATTCTGAAAACACAAAACATTTCCTACTTTCCTGTCCACTTTATCATACTCAGCGAAACATTCTTTACAACACCGTGTCGCCCGTCATCCGCACTGACTTTTCCACTCTCCCTTCCTCCAAACAACTCGACATCCTTATCCACGGTACAGACCTGAGTCGTGAGGAGGGCCGTGTGGTTGCCACCGCTGTCCAATCCTTCATCATCCTTACCCATCGCTTATAAAATACAACATCCCAAGTCCCAATCCTCACCACTACCGTGGTCGGACGAGTGGGCGCGGTGCGGGGCAGCCTTGCAATGCCGCCGGGGTCGTGGAGCGTTACCGGGCTTGGGCGGTCCGGTCGATCGACGATCACTTTGACATGTTTTGCAACATAAATATTTTTATTCCGTTCTTCTTGTTCCATTGTGTTTCATCATTATTATTGTTGCTAAATACGTTAAGTACTTCTCGTTTAGCAAGCGGCGCCATGATTTAAGTGCGTAGCACTTTTGCGCCAATTGCATACTTTATTTGTTATATTCATCTGTTTGTTATTGAATAAATGGTCTCTCTCTCTCTCTCTCTCTCTCTCTCTCTCTCTCTCTCTCTCTCTCTCTCTCTCTCTCTCTCTCTCTCTCTCTCTCTCTCTCTCTCTCTCCCTTCGTATGGCAGGGCTACAACACCACCACACCGCTCTTCATAGGCGATTCCAAAATCTTGTCTCAAACAGGAATTCAGCAAGGCGACCCACTGAGTTCTCTGCTGTTTCCCTGACGGTGGATGCCGCCGCCAGGTCTGCAGACACAGATATCAACATCTGGTACCTCGATGACGGCACGCTGGCGGGATCAGTGCCTGATGTTGTCTCCAGCATCCAACGAGTGAAGGCAGAGCTGAGCAAGGTGGGCCTCACCATAAATCCGACGAAATGTGAAGCCATTCTCCTGGAAGGATCCAGCGAAGAATCCAAGTCCATCGCTCTACGCCACCTCCACAGCGTCCTGCCAGACATCCGAGAAGTGGCCATGAACGAGTTGGAGCTGCTTGGCGCGCCTGTGCACGACGACCAGGTGCGACGTAAGCTTCTACAAGGTCAGCATATGGTGGAAAAGCTCATCAGACGACTGCAGGCCCTGGAGGAGGCACACCAGGCATTCTTCTTGCTGAAGAGCTACGTCAGCCTTCCTCGCGTTCTGTACCTCTTACGAAGCTCCCCGGCCTATCGCCACCCTGCCCTGCTCGTCAAGATCGACGAAACCGTTCGCTGCGGCATGGAGGCAATCACGAACGTCCGACTGCGAGGCGACTCATGGCGGCAGGCGACGCTGCCCGTCAATCTCGGCGGACTTGGTGTGAGGATGGTGACTGACGTGGCCCTTCCTGCCCACATCGCTTCACAAGTGGCCTCCGCTGACATGATCGCAAGTATCAACGGCTCCGCCGCTGCTCGTGTCGGTG